TATTAGTCCATCCTCCATCTTAAACAAATCCTGGAATATCTTTCTAAATTTATGCAAGAACATTCTTCCAAACCAAATTCTAACCCACTTCAAAAAAGAGAAGATTCATCTACTATAATAATAATAATATACTCTATCTAACCAATTTTTGACTCCTTCTAGATCTTTAATATCAATACTCTCAATTCTAAGTACTTGTTTATCATAGTTTTTGAATACAAATACTAAATCAAAAGATTTAATGCCTGGTATTATACGTTCAAAACAACATATTTCTACTTCATTCAAAGTTAAAATAAAGAATGGACTTTCAACAACATTCATCAATGTATCACGAGTAGGTTATAAGAATAATCTTGCTCTATTCCAATTACCTTCAAATCCTAAATCACGAAATGGTTTTTCAAATGATATTTTATATTCTGCTCCCAATTCTTCAATAGTCTTAATAAACACTTCAAATTCTTTTGCCATCTTTTTTCTATGCATTCTTAATCTTTCTTCTTCTTCAATTTCATCTTCATCATTTCTATTTGTTTTCTTTCTACCTTCTAAATGTTCTACTGCACCCCCAACTTCACAATAAAATTGAACATCATGTGTTTTACGTTTACCCAATACAATTGGAGAATGTAAATGAAAATGTAAAGCAGCTATAATATCCTATTCTGGACTTTAATATATATAATGTTTTATGTTTTTGAATACAATATCCAATTATTCTTTATTAGAATGAATATAACGAAATCCATTAGTATGAACTTCTAAAACTCCTGCTGCCTTTCCAGATCCAAATGTAGGTCTCACTTTCAAATCTTTAAATATTGGTTTTCGACCTCCTTTATTTACTATTAATGGTTCCATATCTCCTACATTTTATTTCTCTCTTTCCACCTATTACTCAGTCTTAACTTTCTTTTATAATTATTTAATTTAAAGTATTAAATTCTATGGACGATCTGATTTCTTAGATCTATATTATAATTCCTTTATGAAGATTGTTTCACCATCAACTTTTGGAAATTAAATCTATCCAGCTGTTGTTTCTGATGTGAAAAAATTTATTCTAATAGATGATCCCATCTTACCTTCATCAATTTTACTCACATTCTTTATACAAGATACATGAAATGGAATATGAGTTCCCAATAATGGTACCAAAAGAGCACATTTTTAATTATCAATATAAATCTATCCTTTCTAGAGTTCTTTTGGATATTGTTCTGGTTTTTAGTAACATGATAATTTATCCAATTCTAAAGCTTTAACTTCTTATTAATTTTAAATAAATTAATCTTATTCTAATCTTTATTCTAATTCAGTCTATTTATCTTTAGCTAATTTCTCTTAATGAATCTATCTCTATTTTTCATTCTATCTTTGAATCTATATTTATTAATTACGAGGTCTAGCTCTTATGGGTTTATCTTTATCTGTTTATACTGGAGCTGGTTTCCTTTCAGGTTCATCTTCCTCTTACAATTAATAAGATATTTATTTATATGCCTTTGGTATTTATGTAGTGGTAATTGTAGCAGCACCATTAGTGATTACAATCACATCTCCAACTTAAATTGTGTAAGTTATATTTTTTTATCCGTTAGGAACATTCTCCAATACCAAATTAACAAAATATACTTCACCTTTGGCTACTACATGTGTAGATTTTTCATTTATAATCAAATTAGATTCCTTTAATTCAAGTCCTATTCCATATCCAAATGATGTAGGTAATTATAAATTTTATAAATTAAGCTCCTACAACTTTTATTATAATAATTGATGGGAATCCTTAAATACAACATTTAGAGATGTACCAATAGTCATTGATGTTATGATTTTATTTTGAACTTCTAAAATGGCATTATAAAGTTTTTTCTAAATTTCAGTGGGATTTATAAAGAGTGTACGGATACAATTGGTATTATATTCATTGACTTAGGTACCAAGTTAGATTATGATTACATCTGATGAAAGATAATCTTTATTGGGTCCTTCAACTTATTAGTAATTGCCTCCACTCTAAATTATTGGAGTGTATGCAAAATCATAAAGACCATCTTACAATCCAATCTCTTTCATTACTTTTTGTTTATCATTTTCCAAAGATTATTCAACTTTCTTGGCCAAGTCTTGATGTGTGATACGTGTACCAACATCTATTGAATCTTCTATTTATTTGATCAATTTCTTAAATAGGCGGGTAGTCAATTATGAAGATTGTTATATAAAACCCTACTCTTAATCATCTTTAACTGCTAACACATCACCAATTAATTAAGTGGCATCCACTATTTATTACCATCCCTTATATTCATACCATTCGGCTGCTAAACTTCCTGCTTATTTTTCAGTAGTGGGCATTCCCAATTTAACATTTCCTATTTTTTATCGAATCTTCTCAAATGATTCTCGATTATCATTCATTTTCTTGTAAAAATGAACCTCAAATTTACCACTTAGTTTTTGTTTTGTCTCTTCCATCATCTGAACTAGAAACTCACTTAATAATCTTACGTTTCTTATCACTTGCCAAGTAAAAAATCTATTTCTTTGTGGCTAAAAACACTGTCTCAATCATATCATATCCAAAAAGCCAAACAAAAAGTGCTTTTGTTTTTGGTTTGATTGATCCGTCCTCTTTACCAGATAATATACAAATTGCTGGAATGTCCTATTTTATATATAAATTCATATACATCATTGAGTCTACTCACCAATTATTCCAAATGTCTTTGAAATACGTCTGCTATGATCTTTTTATCCATTATTTAATTAATTTAATTCATACAAATAAATTTTTATCATGTTTTACTAGACCAATCAAATACTTAATTAAATCAGGCCATTTAATTGACTACTTTTCTATAATTTAAAAGACTCACATAATTGAATAAAATATTTAAATCCTTTTATTTATAAAAAAACCCGCTAAAATTCTGAAAACCCCCTCCTAATTCTATTAAACTAAGAAATCCAATATACTATTATCAAATTACCATCCTAATTTGTATTAGTATCAATTACATACTGACTCACAATTTATATTATAAATTAATCAACTAATAGTTTTATGTTTTTTTTTTTATAAATATAAACAATCAAATTCAAAGATAGTATTTTTATATGACTAACAAAAATTAATACATCATTATTAAATATATAAGTAGATAATTTCATCCTAATATTGGCAATAGATTTAAATTTTTTTAATTTCATTTATGATAAACTTATCAATTTAAGAATCTTCATTATAATCATAACTAAATCTAAAATTATAAATTTTAAGAATTAGAAGATTACAAAAGATCTGATCTTATATTAAAAAAGATAACTTTAGTATTTTGATCTATTTTTTATATTTTAATAGTTCAGAATTAATATGAAATACTGTTTAGCTTCAAGATATCTTCTAAAACTATTAGTTAAAAATTACAAAATTTAACAATATGAAAAATTGTAGGTTTTATTTAATCTATTTTTGATGTTTGAAACCTATAAATTCATGAAAATTATATATTAAATGATGGAAATATAAATGTCATATTTTTAGATATAAAAGAATTTTTACAACTATATGGGAGTTGATAATGAAATTGATAAGAAGATAAATTCATTAGTTGAGATGATTGATTTCAGTTAAGAATTAAGTAGGGAATCAATACTATAATATTAAGAATTATCTGGACGACATAGTTGATATAATATATAAGTTATATGATTAATGATGATTTATTTTTAATGAATATTCAAAGCTAAAATAATAGTGCTGGATATATTTCATCTCCAGAGTATCCTTGGTCTAAAAAGAAATAAGCTGATGGACAAGAATTTGAACCACAAGAAAAATAAATATAAGATGATACCAATTCAAAATTTGAGAGTAGATGCTTAATTGATGATCCACCCATAAAGTTCATACAATAATAGTAAAGTTTAAAACTATATCAGTCATTCTCAAAACTCAATTCATGATGAAGAACAACAATAGATAATATAATCTGAAATTCTCAGTCCCTCTAAATTATTAAGAACAGGAAATGAACTTAAAAGCACTTAATCATTCGATATTAAGTTAGAACAAACTTCAATACAAGAAGAGCCTATAGTGAATTCAAGAACAAGAAGGAAAGCAAGCAAAGCCAATTATAATGTACTAATTTTGATTTATTTTTAACCCAAGGTTGATGACTCTCCTACTATTGACTCAGATAATAAGCCTTGTCATTGTTCTAAAACAAATTGTTTATAATTATATTGCTCTTGTTTTCATAATAGGAGATAGTGTACTTAAGAATGCAAATGTTCTGATTGTTTTAATGATGGATAACATTAAGATGAAGTTCTTAAAGCAATAGAATAGATAAAAATAAAGGAATAAAGGGCATCACATCATGATCTTGATTCTTTTGATACAAGATAGGTTTGGGGATGTAAATGCAAAAAAACAAAGTGCATTAAAGGATATTGTGAATGTTTTATCAGAGACAAAAAATGCAGTTCCCACTGTCAATGTACTAATTGCCAAAATAAAAAATAAAAAACATCAATAAACAAGAAAATTAAAAAAATATGATTAATTATCTATATAATTAATTTTCTCTTGATGCACACTTTATTGAAATAGATGACATTTTTAATTCTCTCAATTATTAATGTATAATTAGTTCTATTTTGATGATTTAAAAATAAAGAATTAATCACAAAACTTGATCCTAAAAAAAATTATTGTTGATAGTGAAATCTTAATCAATTTGAGAAGGTTGAATATTAGATAACGGACAATAATTAGTTTCATAATAGAACCTTAATTTTTATTGAAATATAAGAGATTAATAATATGAATAAGAATATAAACTTATATTTCTAAGATAATTATTATAGTTGTGTATTATATGATTAATTGAAATTAGATAAAGTTTATAATATTAATTTATTTGAAATTGTTATTTTAATTCAATGAACGAATTGAATGAGGCTAAAATAAAGAATTCNTTTTAATGAATATTCAAAGCTAAAATAATAGTGCTGGATATATTTCATCTCCAGAGTATCCTTGGTCTAAAAAGAAATAAGCTGATGGACAAGAATTTGAACCACAAGAAAAATAAATATAAGATGATACCAATTCAAAATTTGAGAGTAGATGCTTAATTGATGATCCACCCATAAAGTTCATACAATAATAGTAAAGTTTAAAACTATATCAGTCATTCTCAAAACTCAATTCATGATGAAGAACAACAATAGATAATATAATCTGAAATTCTCAGTCCCTCTAAATTATTAAGAACAGGAAATGAACTTAAAAGCACTTAATCATTCGATATTAAGTTAGAACAAACTTCAATACAAGAAGAGCCTATAGTGAATTCAAGAACAAGAAGGAAAGCAAGCAAAGCCAATTATAATGTACTAATTTTGATTTATTTTTAACCCAAGGTTGATGACTCTCCTACTATTGACTCAGATAATAAGCCTTGTCATTGTTCTAAAACAAATTGTTTATAATTATATTGCTCTTGTTTTCATAATAGGAGATAGTGTACTTAAGAATGCAAATGTTCTGATTGTTTTAATGATGGATAACATTAAGATGAAGTTCTTAAAGCAATAGAATAGATAAAAATAAAGGAATAAAGGGCATCACATCATGATCTTGATTCTTTTGATACAAGATAGGTTTGGGGATGTAAATGCAAAAAAACAAAGTGCATTAAAGGATATTGTGAATGTTTTATCAGAGACAAAAAATGCAGTTCCCACTGTCAATGTACTAATTGCCAAAATAAAAAATAAAAAACATCAATAAACAAGAAAATTAAAAAAATATGATTAATTATCTATATAATTAATTTTCTCTTGATGCACACTTTATTGAAATAGATGACATTTTTAATTCTCTCAATTATTAATGTATAATTAGTTCTATTTTGATGATTTAAAAATAAAGAATTAATCACAAAACTTGATCCTAAAAAAAATTATTGTTGATAGTGAAATCTTAATCAATTTGAGAAGGTTGAATATTAGATAACGGACAATAATTAGTTTCATAATAGAACCTTAATTTTTATTGAAATATAAGAGATTAATAATATGAATAAGAATATAAACTTATATTTCTAAGATAATTATTATAGTTGTGTATTATATGATTAATTGAAATTAGATAAAGTTTATAATATTAATTTATTTGAAATTGTTATTTTAATTCAATGAACGAATTGAATGAGGCTAAAATAAAGAATTCTCACTCTTTTAATTATATAAGAAATGAAGAAGCAAAGAAGAATGATGTAAGTGAAGAATAGAATTTACAAACTACACAAAAAAGAGGACAACCAAAAATTAATATTAGTCGTTTGCCTCCAGCTTTTGCTAACTAAAATAAAGTAATATAATTTTAATAAATAACTCTTAGAGAAAGTAAATAGAGCCTTTGATAATAAAAAAGGAACAAAAACAATAAGTGTAACAAAATATCCAGAACATTGAGGCTATGCAAGAGTACAAATAGGTGAGCCAGATGCTAAGTCCCCTGAAGGCATTAATTATTCATCAAATTCTAGCGTGAGAACAACAATCATTTGAAGAATCCATTCCCACACTTTCGTTAGTTTATGAAGGACCAAAAGAAAATTCATGAGGAATTATCCTTGAGTATTAGTACTTTGGTTTAAAGTTAAATAAGAATAGAAGATATGATCACAACAGGAACCTTGCGTTGTAAAATTTCTATTTCTATTCTTATAGCATATGCAGATTCCAGTCCAGTTAAAAAAATGTTGCATGCTCCAACTATGAAACTATATGTAGTCAAAGAAGTATATATTCTAATTAATTATAAGGAACCATTACATAATAAAGAAATTCGTAAGAATTTAAAAGATTGGATTTCATTTTGGTAGAATAAATGTTCAAATTCAATTTAACATGTTTAAATTTACTCTACTTTTTGGAGTACACCTGAAGGCTATGTATCAATTGTAATGGAATATATGAATGGTGGATCTTTATAGGTCAGTTCTGTGTTTATTATTAGAATTTATTAGAGAGTATGGGTGTTTTACCAGAAAGAAGTATAAAATAATTAGTCTAACCAATATTATATGGATTGCAAAGAATCCATTAATCAGGTGCTTAATGTCATGGAGCACTAGGACCTTCACAAATCTTATTTCTAAGAGATGGAACAGTCAAACTTAGTCAAGGATTATAATACAGAGTTTAAATATAAGGTAATTAAGTTTTCAATTAATATATTCTTGGAAGAGTTAAAGATGTATAAAGGTACTAAATATGTAAATCTTAGTTTATATGATCCATCAATACTTGAAACACCTTCTTTATGGAGCAAAGCACCAAGTGAAAAATATCACTTTCCTATATAAGATGATTTTGTTTTGGAACGTGCAAATGATATTTGGAAATTAGGATGGTTATTATTGAATTGTGCAATTGGTACTATGGAATTCCATCCTAAGGCTTAGCAAATATATGAAGGTTCACGAATAATATTAGAAGAAATTACTAAATATATTGATCAATTAAAAGATACTTGTTGTTTATTACATAGTGAAATTAAAGTTATACAATTTGTTGAATAGAATTCTAAAATAATTAATGAACCAACTAAAATAACTATATTAGATTTATTACCATCTGATAAATTTAGTGTTGAATTCATACAATTTTTATGTTCTACTCTTAAAATTGATCCTAGATAAAGACTCTTTACTGAATAATTATTATAACATTAATGGTTAACAGGAGGTAAAGAATGTAAAGGTAATTTAATTATTATTATAATAATATAGGTCCAAATGTACAATTAAAAGAACTACTTTCAATCTCAAATGCTTGGAATACATTCTTGCCAGAAGAATTTCAAGGACAAGGAGCTTAAAAATTAGAAAGATTATGTGATGCATTATGTTTGGTATTACAAAATTCTGAAAAACCTACTATCAATAAGTAATTATTATTCATGTTATTATATAAGAATGCATTTATAGGAAAATAGTCCAATTATAAAAGAACTCTCTTATGATATGGGTATCAATACAAAAATAGTAAGTGAAAGACTAATTTCAATTTTCCAATCATTAATTTGATATTAAAATGTTTATTGCATTATAAATTAATATAGTTATAGTATCAATAATCCCAATCATGAATAAAATTTGATCTCTCAGATTTTTAAGCTTATTCTGAGAATGTCACTTTCAAATCTAAATCATAATTTTCACTTCTTAAAGTTGCTTTAGGAACTGGTTATTTTCTTTGTATAACTTATTGCCAATTAACATTTATAAACCAAGGATGTTTTTTTAATTCTTCAGCATCCTCCTTTGATCCTAATCTTTTTGATTAATTCTTCTCTAATAGTCTCTTTAAAAGATCCCATAATTCATCACTTATATTAGCTGGTCTTGGTGGTTCACTAGTCTTGATATTGTTGAACATTTTATTTTTATCTCGTTCATAAAATGGAGGATTACCATGAACCAATTCATAAATAAATACTCCAAATAAATACCAATCTAATGGATATCCATGACCACTTTTATCTAACATTTCAGGTGCTAAATAAGCATAACTTCCACAAAAACTTGTAGCTCTTTATACATTCAATTCTTTTGATAATCCAAAATCTGTCAATAAAGCATGACCATCTTTATCAATTACAACATTTGATGGTTTCAAATCTCTATAAACTATACAATTTTAATGTAATGTTTCTAAAGCTAATAATATTTCACAAGCATAAGCCTTAGTTGCTTTTTCTGGTAATTTCCCTCTCTCATTCATTAATTATTCTAAATCACCTCCTGGACAATAATCTAAAATCATATAGAGTTTATTTTCTGTTTAAAAAGCATAGTGTAATTTTACTATAAATGGAGAGGTAACATAAGTCAAGATTTTTCTCTCAGTTTAAATATATTTAACTATTCCTGCTGCTTATAATTTTCTTTTTACTAAAATTTTCATTGCATAATAATTAGTATTCCCTTTCTTTTATACCAAATATACTTATCCAAAAGATCCCTTACCCAATTAAGTTAATACTGAAAAATCTTAAGGTCCAACTTATTAAATTTCAACCTTACTAATTTTAGTCTAACTTACTTGAGTACTTAATCGATCTGATAATTTTAATAAATTCTTTATGTGATCATTTCTATTATGTACTCCTCTGAAGGATCTTTTCTGATAATCTTGATAGAGTCCTCTCTTATCAAATATTTCTTAAGTTTGTTAATCAATACTAATATCATAAGCATTTAAATTAAAATGATTCCTAATATTATAATCAGCTCCATGATCCAATAATAATTCTATTATATCTTTATTACCATTTTGAGATGCAAGATGCAAAGGAGAATTGTATTAATAATCAAATAAGTTTATAGATGTTCTATATTATATAAGCAATTGACAAATTTCTAAATATCCTTTTATAGCTGCTATATGTAATGGAGTCCTTTATTAAACATTAGTAATGTCTGGTTAGGCTTGATGCTGTAGTAATAATCTACATGATTCAATATGTCCTTCCATAACTGCATAATGTAAACAAGACCATTACTCTTCCAATTTCATATTGATATCAATAGGTAAATGATATTTTGGTGACAATAGAATTTTTAACTAATTTAAATCATTTTCTTATGCAGCCCTACAAAGTAATTTATGAGTTTCATATAGATGCTGCCAATAAAGATCCCAATGTTGTAATTTATTGAGTTTAATAATAGAGGAGTCGATATCATAAATGATTGATCCTTAATCTAAATCTTTAATTGTAATTTGATCAATTATTTGATCCATAATTTTTAATAAAATAATTAATGGAACCACGACCAGTGATTAGTTTTATTAGACAGAAATACCTCATAAATGAGAGGGACATACAATAAGATGCTTTTACAACTAGTATCGACTAGTATTTCAAACGAAGTCAAAAAAGAATTTATGGTTTCACTCTGACAAGTATCATTTAATTTCTAAAATAAGGTCTATTTTTTTTGATTTTACTGATACCATCAATAGTGTTATAATAGGATTCTTAGGAAGTAGTTGTTTTTCCTTAGAAGGGAGGATAATTTACAGTGAAAGAGTAACTTGATCCTCCAATTAGTTTGGAGATTATTTCAAGTGATTCCTATTTATTATCAGATGTTCAACTTTATTTAGATGGTCATACAATAGAATAATTTACAATTGAATAGAAAATGAATACTAATTCAACACATAAAATTACTAGCAATAAATCCTTTAAAATTAGTATAAATTTAATGATGGTAGCAGTTAGATTAATTTCATAGTTTAGTTTTGTGCCCAAATCGTATTTAATTATTTAAACAATAATGGTCGTTCTCTCATTATTGTATTTAATATAAGAAATTTTGAGAAAACCGAAAATTTGATTATATATTTGTTTAATATGTACTTACTATACAACAAAATTCATTCCTACTTCTTTGACTTTCCATCCTTTGCTCTTCCATCCCTCTGTCCAAATTATGTGATGTTGAAGAATAAGAAAATTACCAAAATTACAATATGAGGAATCCAATATACACTATTATGTAATTCTACAGCCTTTTCCCATTATAATACACGGACAGCTGTGGCAAAATGATCAAATGTTAATATACCAAATACCCAAGCCAAGAAATGTCTAATAGGTTGTGGGATACTTAAAAAAATAGTAAACATAATTTACAAATAAAATCTTCTTTAAGCTTTGTAAAAGTATTTATATACTTATCCTGTGATAGCCCAAAAGATAAAGAATAAATAATATGTAAAATAAAAACCATGCCTATTAACATAAATAATCATATATACCAAAGACTGCTAATCATAAAGACAAGATAGAATGTTAAACTACCAAATCTTTTTTAAAGACGATCATAGAAACAATATTTCAACCAATTTTAAATATTACAATTCCATTTCTATGTTTTTATGACTACATTCTTTTCTAATTCAAAAGAATAATCAAATACAACCCATAAATCATTTTTTTCTATATATTATAGATTAAGTTTTTTTACTTGTCTTATCATTATAGGTTAATCCCATAGCATCCATTCCTGCTTATGTAAAATAGAAGGCAGCTATATATGTGAATCTTGCACAGGGAGTAATAATAAAGATCATAGCAAATTTAAACCATAAACTATATTGATTTCTCCATTCATCTGAAAAATACCAATCTGAATCAAAATGAGGTCTTATAAGTAATTCTGCCATACTAACTGCTAAAGCCTTTAAAAATGAAATGATGGCAAATTTAGGAGTATAATGTGTATAATCAGTTTTTCTTTCTATCAAACTGACAAAAGCATAAAATGGAATTGGTGCCACAACTAAATTAGGGAACATAAAAATGTATGATAAATACATCATTAAAGATGTTTTACCTTATGTTTTTCCATCTTATTTATCACAAGCATAAAATATGTATCTTGCTGTTAACATCATTTGAATTGCATTATAATCCATTCTCCAACTCAAGTACTAATAGATGAGTCTATAGATATGAACAAAGGATAGAATTCCAAATGCAGCTATGGACACAGGTAATGCACATTTTTTAAAGATTTATGCTAAATAATAAATAGCTATAGTCCATCCTAACATCAAAGGAAACCATTCTTTGCAAACAATCACTGAAAAAAATATCCCCAAGAAAAGATTGAAATAAAGTCTTCCAGTTGGACTCTTTATATAATGGAACACAAATCCTAATGGAGTACAAATTATCTAAAATTATTGTAATTTATTACCATATAGAGAAGAATTACGAAAAGGTCAATCTCAAAATTGATGAAATTGATCTTTTGCAATTACTCTTCTAATATATTGACGAATTGGATAATCATAAATAAATCAATAAAATTATTTAATATGTCATTTATATATCTATATTTTTATAATCATAAAATTCAAAATCATTATTAATGTCATCAATGATTACAACATTATTTTAAATAAAATGTATTTCAATTAGAATTATTATTTGATTCAAAGATAAATTGTATTTAAAACCTCAGGCTAAGAGTATAATAATTATTTATATATTAAATTGGAATTTTAAATAAAAGTACAAAAATAATTAATTGTATTTTGATAAGACTTTATGAATTCTTAACTTCCAGTAAACAACTTTGATTCTAGAAGTAAAAGTTTCTATAAAAGAAACATATTCTCCTTTTTTGAACATCCAACAAGAAGAAAATCATGTTATTGCTAACAATGTGGTAAAAATAGTCACTTCTAGTAACAACATGCTAATTTACCGACACTTAAAGAAATTGATTTTAAGAATTAAGCAGAAAATTTAAGAAAATAAAGTTTATGTGATGAGATTAGGACTGAAATTCCAAGTGAATTAAGTCTTATGGATAGTGAAAATGGAAGACTTTTTAGAAACTCAAATCGTTCGATTTCCATTGTCAACAAATATTTCAAAAGATCTATGAACTTTGATTAATATAGTCTTGAAACAAATACTAAATTGAAAAGAAGAAGTTGTGAATGCTCAGAATGTGGAAATCTAACTTAATTTTAAAGAAAACATGAAGACTTATCTCTACCTAAAAGAGATAAAAAAATGAAATAATTTCTAATCAGGAAGTATCATAAATAGATCAAAGGAACATCTAAATAATTCCAATTAAGTTAAAAAAAAATAATAGTATAAAAATCAATCATTTCTTCTCCTCAAAGTTAGAAATCATTCTAAATTAAATAATTTGATTAAATTAGACGAACATAGGATATTAACAAATTAGTATTAAATCGTATCTCAACAAGAGACTTAGAATAGACAAAATAAGTTTAAAATTAATATTCTATAATTAATTCTTGTAAACAATTAGATTCTCCTTAATTTACTCATAGCAAATCTTAGAGATAAATATTGCATAAACCAACCATGTCATTTGGCACATTATCTACCTCTAAGTGGAAATCCTATAAAAATACAAAAGAATTCCAATGATATACTTTATTAATTGATAATTCTTTTTGATCTTTATAAATTATTAATTATTTAATCAATTATATAGCTGATTGTCTAATATATAGAATTTATAAT